TCGAGGCTTTTCCTGGAGGTTAGAGGCTGGTAGGAACAGCTGAACTGAGGCTGTGTGGTACAGCTGAAAAAAACAGTTCTCCTAGAAAATGAAGGGTAACACAGCTGAGATGTTTATGTCTATCAACAAGAAATAGACAAATCATTAAAATAAAAGGTAGCATTTTTAAATATTAGGAAATCTAATACAAAATCTTTCAATTGAAAAATATCAATGGTAGAAAATGTCACCATTACAGATTGTTTACTAAAATAGGAATGACAAAAGTTACTAGAAAAGTAACTTTTAATTTTAAATGGAAAATTTTAGCTAAAAGTACGATCATTTAAAAAATTAATTTTATTTTTGTAGATCTTTATGTCTGGTTGGTATTTGCATAAATGTTCATGTTGTTTTTAAACAAAAATGTATATTTCATTGTGCTAAATTTTTATTCTGGTGCGAAATAGAATGCTAGTGCTAGAAAATTTGATTTAGTGAATCACTGAATTTGTACAGTTTGTATAAACAGAGAATACAATTTTAGAATACAGTGAGACCCATCAAACTTTCGAATAGGAAAACGACCTTCATGAGCATTTGATGTTGTTTTATAGCAAACACACTTATCAGTAACTTTAAACTAACGTAGTAATCGAAATTGTTCTAATTCTACAAAAGATAAATTTAATAACTACAGACCAATTAGTATTCTACCAGCGCTAAGTAAACTTCTTGAAAAAATAGCTGCGACTCAAATGTTTAAATATCTTAACAAGTTTGAGATTTTCTATCAACATCAATATGGATTTAGACCACAACATAATACTAATCAACCTTTACTACACCTAATGAATAAAATTTACGAAAATCTTAATAAACCCCAACCAGAATTTACACTGGGAATTTTTTTAGATCTTAAGAAAGCTTTTGACTGTTGCAACTTAGATATTCTTTTAAAAAAACTAGAGTATTACGGTTTTAAAAATGTAGCTAACACATGGTTTCAAAACTATTTAGTAAATAGGACTCAATATGTTTGTATAAATGGTATTTTTTCTAAAGAAAAAACAATTTTATGTGGTGTTCCTCAGGGAAGTGTTCTTAGGCCCCTACTTTTTCTTATATACATAAACGATTTGCCTTTAGCAACGTCTTTTTTTACTAATCTATTTGCTGATGACACTAGTTTTCTAAAATCATCTCCACATATCGAAACTTTAGTAATTGATGCGAACTTTGAACTAAAAAAGGCAGCTGCATGGTTTCAGGCAAACCGTTTAACATGTTTCCAAAACAAAGTTTATGATATTTAGGAATAAAAATATGCATTTTGATCCTGAGAACTGCAAATTAAAAATTGGAAATGAGATACTAGAAAGAATAGGAACTGACTGTACAAATAAATATTTCAAATTTGTTGGACTCAAAATTGATGAATTTTTAAATTGGGACTATCAAATTGAACATGTTTCCAATAAGATTGCTAGCTCAATTTTTGCGCTGAATCAGATTAAAAACATTTTACGGTTAAACATTCGTCTACTAGTCTATAATGCACTTGTAAGGCCACATATTGAGTATGGAATTATAACATGGGGGGGGGGGGCGTAAAAAATGCTAAACTACAGAAAATCAAGTCTCTGCAAAAAAGGGCAATTAGAGCAGTAAATAATAGTTCATTTAAGGCACACTCAGATCCAATATTTTTCAGATTAGAACTCCTAAATTTTGATGATACATATAAACTAGGTGTTCTATCTTTTATGCATAAATACTTTTATGAAAACCTTCCAGCTTCCTTCCATGATATGTTTAATTCTTTAGCTGAACCAAATAGAAGAAAATCATATAAACTTAAACGGGTTCTCTTTAAAACTCTAGAATGTTTTCCCTCTGCTTTATTTCCAAAAATATGGAATTCGATTGAATTAGAGCTGAAAGAAACTAAATCTGCAAAATCGTTTAAAAGAAAAGTCGCCAAGATCTCTTTAGATAGTTATGCAAACTATATCTGTTAAAATAAAAACTGTGTATCATATGGATAAACTTAGTCTTTACTATCTTCATCACCCTGTAGTTCATAAACATGATTTTAATAACTTATGTTACCCTCTGCTCCAACCCTTACGCTGAGTATCCTCCCTTTACCTTATACTCCCTCACCTCCTCCTTACCATTTTCCTGATTTTCATCATTCTTATGTTTAAAATGTACAATGTACATTGTTTTTATCTGCAATTCTCATTCGTTTATAGTGGGCCAACCAATTAAAACAACCTACTCTGGTTAGGCGGGTCCAAATTACATAGTAAATTGTGATTTTTTATTTGTATTATCTCGTGCTTTGTAGTTGAATAAAATATGAATATGAAATATGAATACGAATAATGTTCACGGTACACTCCCATTGGACTACTTAAAAGCATAATTTGAGTTTAACGGTCGTCTTCCTTTTGCACAGTTTTATGGGTTTTAGTGTAAATTAAGCTTTTAAGATTATTGTGATTTAAAAAAAAATTAAAAAAGTAAAAAGTAAAACTATGCCCATTTCTAATATTAGGATGGGGAAAGGAGTGCTGAGGAAATGCTGTCTGTGTGTTTCCCCGCAAACAGCATCATTTGTTCTTGGCTCGGTAAGAGACAAGTTCTTAACGTTTTATTTCTGGTCGTTTTTTTAACTGATTATCATGATTCTTTTCTCTCATCGTAAAAATAAAAACAATTAAAAACCAATTTGATCGAAAACCAGGATTTGATCGAAAAAGTGTTAATTAGCAGTTAAGGATGCAAGTTAGTTTAACATGAATAAGCTGTTATTTTTATTTTTCATCTTTCTCCTTCTTTCTCACTCTATCTCTAATTTTTTCTTCTTTCTCCTTCCTTCTCACTCTATCTCTGATTTTTTATTCTTTCTCCTTCTTTCTCACTCTATCTCTAATTTCTTCTTTCTCCTTCTTTCTCACTCTATCTCTAATTTCTTCTTTCTCCTTCTTTCTCACTCTATTTCTGATTTTTTCTTCTTTCTCCTTCTTTCTCACTCTTTTTCTGATTTTCCCTTCTTTCTCCTATATATACTCCCTTGTTTTACATTTTCCCCTTTTTCTCTCTCTCTTTTTTCTTGTATTTGAATATAGGTCCATTAACTAGTTAAATCCATATCTTGACTCTTACGATGAAAATTTCTAATTTTCTTTTTCTTTCTGATTTTTCAAAATGAAGTTTTCTAAAAGTTTGCTTTTATTTCACTCAGCCAAATGTTTAAAACTTTTTCAACATATATTTTTGTAATGTTTTAGAGCATTAGCAATTTGTTAAATTTTAAATTTTACAATTTAGAAAATTTTAGAAAATCTTTGAGTACAGTTCTTAAGTAAAAGATAATATATCTATAATTAGCATCAATACTGTCAAAATTTTAAAGAAAAGGGTCACGCAAAATCTCACTTTAAAAAAAAATTTTCGGCTTGAAGCTCCGACAAATTTTGTTCAATATAAGTTAGAAATGTCTATAGATGTCCCAAAACAAATATTTGTTTTTTCAGTTCGGGATTCTGTTCTCCTGTATCCTGTTGGCACCACTAGTGGTGTTCCTTGAAAACCAAACCTTCTACATTGCGCAGTTTGGGCGCAGTCAAACAGAACGCGGCAATTATGTGGACGACGACCAGGTTTTTATTCCTCAATCAATCAATTAATCAATTAATCCATAAATTAATAGTATATTTGAAAGTTTGTTTTTAATACAGTGGACCCATACAATTTTGTATTAGAAAGACTTAAAATTTCTAGAAAATTGAATCATGCTCATGCTATAAAAACTGTATTAATAGGTCCCAGAAATCGTACTGTACAGCAAAGTTTTGTACTCTGTACTGCTCGCCATGGATGTTGTTTACATATTCTCCTGCATACTACTCCTGGCTGCAGTTGCGACAAAGAAGTAAGCATCAAAATATTTCCATAGCGTTATCGAATCAAAGGAATTGAGTATTTGGTACAAAACCTGATTTTTTAATCTTTATATCTTTGGACCTTAGATATTTCAACTTATGAAATCATAATCTAAGTTTAAAATATCAAAGATATAGGGGTTAGAAGTTGTAATATTTTACAGAAAAATCATGATCTGCTATATAAATGTGTTTTTAAATCCTAAATCCTCGTTTGGCTAAATAGGTCTTTAATCTTCAGGACATGCAATATTTCACTGAAAATCAAAATGAAAAATAAAAATAGTTTTTTGTTTCAGGCATTTGCTAATGGTTCCCTGGCTGGTATATATGTTCACAATCATTCTAGGAAAGTTTATAATAAAAAAAGCTTTTAATATACAGTGAGAACCAGAAAAATGTGGAATAAAAAGCAACATTAAAGCAAATCTTAATTTTTTTGATCAAATAGTTTTACTATTAACTTGTCAGATCACTTATTACGTGAAATGGGTCTGTTTACACTAATTTAAATTTATTGCACTATCTATTTCCAGAATTTTTTGGTTCTCATTGTAAGCCCTGTTTATGAGGCAGTTAGGACCATTCTGAACGCCTCTTTTTTTAGAAATTTGAACGCGAAGTCTAACTCAAAGAATTTAAACAGTAAATGATAAACCTTGATTTTACAAAAAAAAAAAAAACTATGAATTAAAATATGTTCCACGATTACATATTGTTTTCTTGAAGCTTTTTTTATTTATTCTTGGCGTAGTGGTTGTGACCATAGTCCTGTCATTTATAATTGGACTTGAAGATTACATGTCCCTCGCTGTATGTTTAGGGTAAGTCTGGTAGCTTGTTACAGGGCTAACCACTTCCAACAAAGGATATTACAGGGTGTCCCATGAAACATGACAATAGCAAGATGGATTGAATGTCGTCTTTCATCTTTGAAATAATTGGAGGCAATTTTTCGTAAACTTAATATTAAGAGTAAAATTCTACAAATAATAAACAACAAATACCCAAAGTCTTGGCGTTTCCAAATGTGGTCTGCCTTTTTTGTGCTTTCAATATTAACAGAGATATGATAAATTTCATTTAGATTTCGATTTCGATTGGTTTTGTTTAATAAAATCGAAATGTAAACGAAATCTCGATCGATCCGGTAATATTGAAAACGGCAGACCACACTTTGGAAATGCCAAGCCTGGTGTGTGGTTATTGTTTCAAGAATCATACATGTAAAAGTAGGTTGATGACTGAATGTCATAAATAAACTTAGAGTTCGAAGACAACATTCAATTCGTCTTGCAACTGTTTCATGGGACACCCTGTACCTTAAAGGGACTGTAAAGATCCGATTCCCATTCTACCTCTAACTGATTAGTGATAAGGAAGATATCGTCGTTTATCTCAAAACTGTTAGATTCTGAAAATTTATTTCAGTCCCTAAAATCTGAATACATGATGTTATAATAAATTCCACACAACCGTCTTTGAAATCTAATCTTAAAAGGTAATTCTTATTTGCAAGGAGACTATCTACCCTCAGTTGTTACCAATGTGATGCTTTCCAAACCAAACCTAACCCAAGGTGTCCTTTTTTCCAATATTTTACTAGGGAGCATTTTCAAAATTTCACACCAATCAATCAATTTTTAACTAATCTGGTTAATTGACCCCCTTCCACCCCTTCCAAAATTCAAATTATTGTTTGAAAAGAACTGTGTATTAAGTATTGTTTATTTAACAACTTTTTAATGCATAAGAGCTTAGTAAGTTTTTTATAAGGCGCGGCTACACTTAGGGAGTTTTTAAACAATATAAAAAAAATCCATAAGAATATTTTATTGAGCTTTTCCATGTCCAATTAAATAAATCAATTGATCAAAGAATTAATCAATCTATTAACCAAGCAACCAATTAATTTATCTTTATAGTGTTTTTGTAAGTTTTTAGTAAGTTTATCCTTTTATCCTTGGTCTTGAAGGCCCCCCCCCCTCAATCAATCAATCAATCAATCAATTTATCGATCAATCAATTAATTAATCAATTTATAAATCAATCAACTAATCAACAAATAAAATGATCATTAAATCAATGTATTTCTACAGTTTTTTGTAAGTTTTTAGTAAGTTTAAGAGCCATCCAACCGCCCCCCACTCAATCAACCAATTAATCGATCAATCGATAAATCAATCAATCGATCAATCAATCAACCAATCAACTTAGCAACAGATAAAATGCTCAATAAATCAATGTATTACTACAATTTCTTGTACGTTTTTATTAAGTTTATCCTTTTATCCTCAGTCTTCAAGAGGCCCCCCCCCTTAACCAATCAATCAATTAATCGATTAATCAATCAATTGATCAATCAATCAATCAACTAAGAAACAAATAAAATGATCAGTAATTCAATGTATTTCTACAGTTTCTTCTAAGTTTTTAGTCAGTTTATCCATTNGAATACAGCTTCTTGTACATCAAGCAAACGGAACAGGATGTGTGACCAAGGTCACACATCCTGTTCAGTCGGAGGTCTTGTGTTTCTTTTTTATTCTGATGCCGGTTTTCCCATTTTCCTAAAACTGACCGCAGGATCGGAAGCTCCCCTAACAAAGCACCAGCCCTAAGGAGCAACCCATCTTTTATTATACACGGTCAGGTTGGACATCTTGGTCCTCTGGAATAGGTTTTCACAACTCTATCCAGTGACTGGTGCTATAGATATATATTATATGTATATGTATTTTTGTATTATTTTTTATTCAAGATTTGGGCAAGATAATTTGGATGTGTTGCAAACATAGTCAAGAGAAATTATGGAATTGCATTCATAGCTCATACCCTGGGTGTTAGATTTTCCCCCTTGGTTTCCATTTAAGCAGCTAGAATCTGAAATTATTGATTAAACATCACAAAAAATTTAAGTTTGAGCAGCTAGAATCAAAACTTTGGCAAGTATGAATTTGGACAGAAAAAAAAACTGAAAACAAAAATAAAGACAGAACAAATCAAAACAGTATGAATTGGAACAGAAACGACAAACAAACTAAAAAATTGCACATTTAATCAGGTAGAATCAAGCTTTTGGCAAAAGATCAACCTTAAAAAAAACAGCATGAATTTGGATTGGAATAAAAAATGGAACGAGAAATAAAAATAAAGTGGCCCATTTGAACAGGTAGAATCCAACTTTCGGTAAGAGACACACAAAAAAAGAACAGTATGAATTTGGACAGAAATAAGATCTCTACTCCTAATCACAGCAGGTGCATGTACCCAATGGCCAGCTTTTTTTTGGTGCCGGCTTGAAGTGGCCCATGTAGTGAACCAAAATTTCCTCCCCTTCCTTGATTTCTTCCAGTGTGTGAATGTTCACCACCCCAGCCACTGATTTGCTATCATAGACATATCTAGAAATTTGAAAAAAAACGTTTTAAATGCTTTCTATTGTGTTAAAATGAATAGCAAAAGAAAAAAACCTCACTTGGCATTAAACAGTTGGCAGTGGTGGTTGACCAGCTGAAGAACCCCAGCAAGGTGGCACCATCCCTTTGGTTCGTGGCTAAAAATACTTCCTTAAATTTTAAGTATAAAGCAAGTAGGAATGGAACGGAAATGGAAGACCAATAGTTACCTCTCACTCTGTATTGCAGAGAACTGCTGCCATGGTTCTAAGATAAGCTCCGATGGCCATTTCCTCAGGTAGCCAACCAGAGGAGCGTCAGGGCCAACCATGATGACAACCCCTTTAGGAAGGTTGCATGCAGCTCTGTTCCACCATATTTTGGTTTCAACTTAATGTACAAATTTAAAAAGAGCAGGGGAAAGGAAGCATTACTCATAAGGACTTTGTGTCTAAACAAATATGGTGCTTTCCTGAGGCCGAACCCTAGTCCACTGCCAGCACCGTCAGAAGGGTAGGACTCGGTCACTCCAACCTTCACCATGTCCCGTCCGATCATGCAGTACAGGAGGTCTCGGATGACTGTGCTAATCCAGCTCTGTGTTGTCACCTCATCAGCAGAAAAGAACTGTTTTATGAGAGACTCCACTGCATTCGCCACAGACAAGGAGCCTTGATGAGCTGGCATAAAGGTCTCCCTGTTGAGCCGTACTCTGGTCTCGGCTGGAACAGAGACATCCAAGTTGGTAAACTTGTTGGAAAACAGGCCATAGTGCACATCAAGGGTTGCCAACAACGTCCTGGTGTCAAGAATAAAGGTTCAATTTGAACAAACTTGAAACACACAAAAAAGTTCCTTTTCAAAATATCTGTGAAGCTAAAAAGTCAATTGATTCTTTTTTCCCTGTCATGCAACGTCATTACTGTCTGGAACTCCTTCTTCTCAATGTCCTCGATGTCTTCCTCCACCACAGAAGAGTCTTCTGGCTCATTCTGGTCAGTGTCATAGGAAGAGCCCAAATCTGTCTGTACAGAAACATCAACCCGAAAATAGGTGGGACTGGTGCACACCTTGTGATCTACGTGATAGGTCAACGAGGCCTTGGTCACAAAAAGTTTTCCACAGGCCTCGCACACAAACCCTCTCCGGTTGTAACCTTTGTGTTTAAAACCAGCATGGGTTTTCAGGTTGGAGAGCTGACTGGATATAAATGATTGTTGCAAAAATTATTTCAGTGGCTTGCATAACAAACAAAAAACTGTACCCTGTAATAGTTAAGGAGACAAAAAAGTGGTGATCATTGAGCTTAATCTCAAATTTTTACTTTTTGCAACATTCCTAAAGCAGTTAAAAAGACTGTGCTCCTCTATGCAGGAGGCACAACAGTAGTTTAGAGGCCTAGGAGGGTGGAGGTTCCTCACCATAACCCTTACTGCCTTTCAATTGTCGGACATTCTGTGCTGTTCTGGAATATTTTACCATCTCCACATGAGCACCAGAGATTCACAAACATAAACGCACAATCACAGAAAAACAGTAAAAGCTGTTGTGCATTTTAATTGAAGTTTACAACATTGTATTTTTTAATTAAGGTTTTGACATTTGAAAGAAAGAAAAAAAAGGTAAAACAGTATTCAGCAAGATTGAGGGTCTAAATAACAAAATCCTCAAGGAACATTGGCTTCCTTGATGTTCGGCGCTCTCTAGATGGTGTCTTAACCACCCCTTTAAGCTGGGGGGTTTTAGGAGTTTGATTTGCTTGCAAGAGCATGGATTTCATCTCTGTACTCTTGGGTCGCAGAGCCAAAATATCCATCTTTGCATTGGTCACAGTATGCCTTCTAATGAGATTCTGATAGTTTCGGCTGTTGGTTGTCTGGCTATGATTCAGTGCCTCATGGACGGAGCCTCTTAGTTTTGAGTCCCCATATAGATGAGCAAGTGCAGTGGAACATTTCCTGAGGTGACGGGAATTAGCTTCAATTGGGAACTCGGGGAACTCATTCCCTGTTGCCCTCCAAATTGCCCTAGAGATCAAGTTTACACCTACCATGAACTTTGTTAGTTTATTTAGGGTAGTTTACAAATGTATCAGTAATTTTTTGTTTTCTCAACTCAAGATTTAACAAGTTTTGTGTAAGTTTATTTCTCCCCTGCTTCCACCCTCCCCCTTATGACAAGGTAATGTAAACTTCCTGAAAGAATTAGAAATGGACTCACTGTCCATTCTTAGACCATGCTCCAATAGAAAGAGGTCATCCGGAGAATTGGGACTCCTCTTAGCCAGGTCGGACCAGAACCTGCCAGCATACACAGATATGTGTGCCATGAGAGGCTCAGACATGACCAGATAAGTGGGTAGGCCACTGCTGGACACCGTTTTGTCATAAAAAGATGCTACCGAATAATACAACACTCCAGATTCTGTCATCTTGGGGAACTTCATTGCCTGTTTAACTGATGACCTAGAGAGTGCGTACAAAGCTGCAGGGCTGCAACTGTTTTCAATGATCAGTGATGTGATTAAAAAGTTTCTTACATTGATGATCTGTCGCACAGTGAGGTCTTCATTTCCAGCAAGCGCTTTCCTGGCAGAGGTGGGCCTGGAGGATGCAAAGAAGTTTTCTAGATCAACGTCAGTAATAAAGATTTTAGAATCTCGCTCCTGAAATTTTGCTCGATGAAAACCTCCTCGCGCCTGGAGGTTGCAGCGCATTTTCTCCAAATGAGTCTGAGAACTTTGGAGTATATCAAGATCTCCCAACTTATCCTGGATGAGAAAGCTTACAAACTCTACCAGGAATCCTGCATCTGGGAAAAAAAAAATTAGTTTATCTTCAAAGGAAATCCAAAGATAAGTGAGAAAAAAAATACCTTTAGAACTGTTAACTTTGCCCAGCATATCAAAATATCCAGTGTGATCTTCTCCTAGGCATTTGATCTCAATCATCAAAGCATTCAACTCTGTTTCTTTAGTGTGGTTAATCAGCCAGTACAAAGCTTTCCTAACAGCGTCCAGCTTCCTCTTTTTGTATTTAACATCTGTCTCAGGTTTCAAAGACCTACGTGCACCGTCTAGGTTTTTGAAATAATCCCTGTTGTAAATGTCCAACACATTCTCTATGGAGGCGTACTTTCCTTCTGCAATCCTTTTAGTGGCCTGAATTTTGGTCCCAAAGCCCTTCAATTCTTTGCTTTTCTTGCTGACTGAATGCATCCGAAGAAGATGGGCAGACAAATTTGCACGCTTATACCCACAAATGTCGCATTTGATGCTCTTGCTTGACTCCTGCCTTAAGTATGGCCTGCCTAGCATTAAAGCCTTCATTCTGCATGCAATGTTGTGTCGTTAAGAAGTTATATTTTATTTTCATCTCAAAAGAGGCAAAAGAGGCAGAAAGTAAGAAATGACAAACTTGTAACAAATTAAAAGATAATAGTTGGGGAGTTAATCACAACTCTGCATGCCTTACAGTCTGATCAACATCTTTGTGAACACTTTTGATATGTCTTGGAAGCTGCTTGACTGATCTCCCACAAATTCCACAGGACTTTAATTTTCTTTTGTTAATCACAGTGCCTCCTCTCTTCTTAATGTAACTTTTTCTTGGCGAATAACCCACCCCTGGATCCTCTCCCAACAGTAATCCAACTTTGTACAGTTTAGCCTCTTCATGTATCCCAAGGCTCAGAACACTTTGAGGCTCAATCTACAGTTCAGTATGACTATGAGTTTTATGATTAAAGTTTTTTATACTCAAGAGATGGAAACTTTTAATTGGAACTTCTGTTTAATCCAGAAATTGGACAGAAAGAGTTTAACTCATTCTGTCCACTTAAAAGTCTCTAGCTCAGGTCAACTTGAAAATGTATGCAACTTAAAAAGCATCCTGTTTTGGAAAAATGAGACCATTATGAGATTGTTATGGAATAAATGATAGTGAATGTGTCCAAGCACAATTTCCCTCCCGATTATATGTTACTAAGTTTTCAGCAAGTCCTAAACTGAGCTTCAACAAAAGTAAATGATATGAGCTCTTTGTGTAAAATTCAAATAATCATTAAAAAAAACTACTACTTTTAGCATGTACATGCCACACCATTTGGGCATAGTCATGTGTTAAGCAACTTTTTGCTAAGACTTTATAAGTTTTTAGTAAGTTCTTCATGAACACATCTATTTAAACATTCGATAAAAGTAAATGATATGAGCTCTTTGAGTAAACTTCAAAAAATCAATTTTAAAACTACTAATGCAGCTAGCATGTACAATGTACATGCCACACCATTTAGACTTAATCATGTGATAAGGAACTTTTTGCTAAATAATAAACCTTTATAAGTTTTTAGTAAGTTCTTTATGAAAGCATCTATTTAACATTCAATGAAAGTAAATGATATGAGCTCTTTGAGTAAAATTCAAGTAATCAATAAAAACTAGTTCTGTAGCATGTACAATGTACATGCCACACCATTTAGACTTAGTCATGTGATAAGGAACTTTTTGCTAAGTAATAAACCTTAATAAGTTTTTAGAAAGTTCTTCATGAAAGCATCTATTTAAACATTCAACAAAAGTAATTGATATGAGCTCTTAGAGTAAAATTCAAGTAATCAATAAAAACTAGTTCTGTAGCATGTACAATGTACATGCCACACCATTTAGACTTAGTCGTGTGATAAGGAACTTTTTGCTAAGTAATAAACCTTAATAAGTTTTTAGTAAGTTCTTAATGAAAGCATCTATTTAAACATTCAATAAAAGTAATTGATATGAGCTCTTAGAGTAAAATTCAAGTAATCAATAAAAATTAATTCTGTAGCACGTAATTGTACAATGTACATGCCCCAACATCTTTCACAACAGTTTTTAGCAAGTTTTAATCAAATTTTCAAAAAAGTGGGTCATATGAGGATTTTCAAAAAGGTTCAAATAGTTAATAAAAAAACACTACTGTACTATGTACTATGTACATGACACATCATTTGACCTAAACTAGTGTTAAGCACCCTTTTGATAAGATTACACATTCATAAGTTTTTAGTGAGTTCTTCATGAAAGCATCTATTTAATCATTCAAAACTGAAGATTTTTCATAGCATCACTTTTAATTTTCAGAAAGCATCACATTGATTACCTACTATTTTACACCCTACACGTTTGAGTGTGTGACAAATTCTAAACTGGTTTTATATTGTCAAATCTTTAAACCACATGCTTCTACCTTTTAGGTTTGGTAACCATACATTAATTATTAATAGAGCATTTTTCATGTTATTAGTTTTCAATGCATCAATTCAGAATACCATAATTAAAATTGATGCTTTGAAATTCTAAAGAGATGCTTTGACATTAGCAATCCAAGCATCCCTTTGTTCATATTTGAGCCACTTAAACGCAATTCTACAATTTAATATTTTTGTTTAGATCAAGTCCGATAATACTTAGCTTTGTGTACATGTGGGTTGTGGTACTCTCTGCATATCAGATGATTAGGTAATTAATAAAGCGGAATTAATTGAACTCTTGAAAGTCGTCATTGATCTTTGAAATTGTTTGCGGCATTTATTTGTTTATACGATTTTTTCTAATTCTAAGCGAAATCATTCATATCTTTAATAGACAACTTTCAAGTCTTCAACCAAAGACATTTTAAATATGTAAATACTTTTTATGCACAATTTCGAAACATTAGACTTTTGGGGGCCATCCAACAAGTAATGACTTTAACTTTCAAAATTTAAGAGGATTTATGGGGAATTATCGATCTTTAAAATGTAAACATTTCATGAATCTTGCTCTGAATTTTGTGAATTTCAGCATGATTGAAACGCTGATTAGACCTAAAGATTTATGAGGGTTTGAATCGCTGATTTAGGATAAAACCGGCGCATTTGATGGTTTAGCGACCTTTTCAATTTTATTATAGTTCAACTTTTCTAGGATATTATTCAGCATTGTGCAACCGTTTCTCCATGTTTAGAGCTGATGTTCTGAGTGCTCGAGGCCCAACAACCTCAGCCTCTCAGTCTAGCTTGGCCTCGATAAAGGAGGGAATTCAACGAGTCCTCGGAGGAACCCCACCACCTCCTTATGAGGTCAGTTTCGAGTCAGCCATGGAAATGGAAAGGGGCAGATAAAAGGGGGGGTCAAGGTTTTATACTCAGAATTCGCTCCAATTTAGGGAAATGTCTGCTTTTTTGCAATGGTCTCGAAATCCTCATATGACGTCACTGATACTTAACTAGCAATCATCACATTAAACAAATATTGATTGTGCGAACAAGTTTGAAGCTAAAAAATGCAATTCTAATTCAAGTTTTCAATTTTTGACTTTGTTTATATTTAGTGATCTGCTAAATCTATTATTCATTAAAATAAGCAGTGAGGTCATATGAGGATTTAGAGTGTCGATTGCTAAAATTGTCGTCTTTGCCTACATTGGAGCGCATTCAGAGTATATCTAACCTTATTATACAACCTTTGATGGGGTAAATATCGATCTTTCTTTAAATGTAACAAATCATTTTTGATAATCCCCCAAAAAATAGGGAGTACAGAGCTGGGAACTTTAGAATGGATAAACTTTAATCCTGACTTCTTGATCCGAATATCCACTGTGGAAACTTTTCATTTTAGTCCTAATCCACTCTTTTTCTCTCTCCTTGGATATCCGTAAATTGTTTTCTCCAATGAGAGGACAGGAATAGTTCGTAAACTGTATTGGCGTCTTTTCAAGAATTTTTCTGTTCTCTCATTGGGTGCCCGATTTTCTCTGATTGGCTGCTACAGTTTCTCAGATGATTAAATATTAATTTGAATTTTATCGTTTTTCATACACTTTTAAGATAATCTTGCAAGATTATGTTAATCTTGAGATTATCAAAAAGAGAGGATCAAGCATTAATCCCGATATCCACCATTCTAAAGTTTTCAGCTCTGAACATATATTTTTTATATCTCACCTTTTTTATAAATTATAAAATTGTTTATTATTGTATATTTGAAAAAATACATATCTTCTTCTTCTATAAAAAAAAATTGTTTGAGTTTTGATGGATTGCAATATTCAATCAAAACCATCAATATTTTTATTAATGGGACTGAAAAACAACGAAAACCGATCCCTCAAAAGGACTGCAAGTGTAATTTCAAGTGACCCTCCATGCAAAGCTGACAATGCCCGATTTACAACATTGCCCTTAAAAGCTTTGTCTGATCAAATATGAATAAGATATCCATATTTTTGTAAATTTTCATTTGTGGCTTCTTTTCAAAAGTGACTTGCGCATTTTTTGCTTTTAATAAATAATGGAGATATTTACAGAAATAAACACTTTTCGAGTCGGAAAGTTGACGGTATCTTTTTTTTATTCGATCAATGTTTCAAGGATACGGTTTTAAATCGAGAATGGCTATCTTTGCATGGAGGGTCACTTTAAATTGCACTTACAAGTTACAGTCCCTTTAATGACCAAGAGAAAACGTCAAGTCTAACTAATTTATCGTGTCGTTGAAATGGTTGATGTTCAGGCTGTTACAACAGACGTTAAGTCTCCAAAGAAGAACGTGACCAACATGAGAAGACAAATATCCACGGAATCAGCCACCTCAGACACCATGTTCTTCGATATGTCGTCCACAAGGTAAATCAAAGTTGATGTTCAGTTTTGAGGTAGAAGCACTTTTGAAATTTTAGTCTATTAACGTCTTTTATTGTGTTCCAAAATGATAATTTTAGTAACTAATATATAAATTTTATCTTTAGAAGATCTTCTGACCGAACACCATCAACCAAGCCTGCATCTCCAATCCTTTTCAAGGCAATTCAGGATTCAAACACAAAACCTTGTACACAACTGGACATTCATTCAAGCCCTAGATCAGAACTGTTTGCAAGACCTGTTCGCAGAATTAGCTCAAGTGCTTCACACTCCCAGCTGCAGTGCACAAGTAGAGAATCCCCGATCCGAATAAGAAAATCCGCCAGTAGTTTTCAGAATTTTGTGCGGCAATCTTCCGCTCAGATCAACCAATCAGGAGGCAGTATGGATGGAACTCTAACCAATGAAAGGTAGATATTTAACATATCATTTATGTTAAAAACCTGTTTTACTTAATGTTGTTATTTTTCAGAGTGACATCAATGGATAACTGCAAGGTTGTGGATAATGAAGATAGTGGCATGAAGGAGAATAAATCTGGAAAGGAAGAAGATGACTTATTCACCACCTGGAGCAGTCTCTCTGATGACACGTCTTCTATCTCCACCACCTCCCTGGACTCCGGAACTAAGAATAATATGCTCGTCTAGATTATGAACATGGAAATGATTGCTACGGAATAAATATAAAAGATATATAAATAATGAAGATTGAGACAGGAAACCACTACTCAAGTAGATACTTATTGCAATTCAAAAGTGCAGGGATTCTTAAGTTAAAAATAGCAAAATTAACTTAAAACATCAAAGAATTGCTATATCAAAGGGGCTGTACACTGTACAGTTTACAGTGTACAATGTACAGTGTACGCTGTACAGTTTTAGAATGGCATGTCCGAATCAATTAACCTTGCAGTTCCCATAAAAATTCAAGAATGAATGAGTTACAGCCATTTTTTTCTGTCAAATTTTAATTTTTTATTGTGATGCCACTTCAAAAAGAGTTAAAAATCCGATATCCTTTACATTATTGATCAGAAAAAGGTTTAAAAAGGGTACTGTTTTATATCGGGCATTTCACTTTCAAATATAAATGTCTGTGCAAAGTTAGTGCTTTAATCGATTCCATCTGGCTTGTTATATTGAGTTTCTCTTTGTAAAGTTGCCTTTATTGAGTTCTTTATACATGAGTTTCTATTAAGTTTATAGAACAATTCATGGGGAAGTTTGAAATTATTTTAAACTAGAAACCGCTTTAGAAATCCTGATGATAAAGCCACAATTTTTAAATTGAAACAAGTTGACAGGAAAGACAACTTTTCGAAAACATTTATTTTAGGATTAACATTTATGATAAAGACGACTTTTATAATTTATTGTTTGCGGTTTAACATTTGTGGTTAGTAAGAAACACCTACACCTATATGACACGAAACATGACAGTTGGTGAATAGTTTAGAATGTCTTCTTCCATATTTTGTTAAGTTGTTTAATTACCAAACACAATAAAAAAATGTTATATGGGAGTCTTATAGTACAGTAAAATGCATTTCCAAGTAAAATGTATTTGAGCAAACGATTTTTTCTCGAAATAAACCGCAAAAAGCCTTTAATGTCACAATACAGTATATAAAAAACGACATTGAAAAATATTTGTCAACTGTCATGTTTCGTGGGACACCCTGTATATTTTAACTTAAAAATTTACTTAAACGTTAAAGTTTAATTACAAGTCACTTTATTCGAAGAATAGCAGCTGTCTGATTGAAGCATATGCCTTCTTCAACAACGGTTCCCTTTAAAATTTATCTAATCAAACCTTTTTATTTCATGCAGATCCCCCCT